CCCCCCTTCTAGCTCGATTCCAAGCGTTTGTGCTTGTTTGGAATTGTGGTTGACTATCCGAGGGCGCAGTGCGCCTTTAGTCCGTGCGCTGGCTTCCAGGGCAGTTCGCTCCCAACCCTGTCTCGCCCGCGTTGGTTTTTGTGTATTTGCGATTGCGAACGGCCGCGCCAGAACGCGTCCGAAGACGCCATGCTGTGGCGCCGACCTCTGGCTCCCCCGCGTTGGTTTTTGTGTATTTGCGATTGCGCAAGGCCGCGCCAGAGCGCGTCCGAGGGCGCCGGGCGGCTGCGCCGACCTCTGGCTCGCCCGCGTTGGTTTTTGCTTATTTGCGATTGTGCATGGCTTCAACGGAGCGCGTCCGAGGGCGCCAGGCGGTGGCGCCGACCTCTGACTCGCCCGCGATGGTTTTTTCTTTATGTATTTGCGACTGCGCGTGGCTTCAACAGAGCGCGTCCGAGGGCGCCAGGCGGTGGCACCGACCTCTGGCTTGCCCCCGCTGGTTTTTGTTCAACTGCGATTGCGCAAGGCCGCGCCAGAGCGCGTCCGAGGGCGCCAGGCGGCGGCGCCGATTTCTGGCTCGCCCGCGCTGGTTGTTGCCTACTTGCGAGTGCGCATGGTTGCGCCTGAGCGGGGGCCCGGGCGCCAGGCGGTGGCGCCGACCTCTGCTTCGCCCGCGCTGTTTTTGGTCATTCGCGAGTGCGCCTGGCGGCGCCGGAGCGCGTCCGAAGGCGCCAGGCGGCGGCGCCGACCTCTGGCTCGCCCGCGTTGATTGTTGCTCATTTGCGGTTGCGCATGGCTGCGGCAGGGCGCGTCCGAGGGCGCCAGGCGGTGGCGCCGACCTCTGGCTCGACCGTAGAGGTTTTCGCATGTTTGCGATTGCGCGTGGCTGCGCTTGGGCGCGTCCGACGACGCCGGGCGGTGGCGCCGACCTCTATCTCGCCCGCGATTGCGCATGGCTGCGCCGGAGCGCGTCCGAGGGCGCTGGGCGGGGGCGCCGACTTCTGGCTCGCCCGCGTTGGTTTTTGCTTAGTTATTTGCGTTTGCGAACGGCCGCGCCAGAGCGCGTCCTAGGACGCCAGGCGGTGGTGCCGACCTCTGGCTCGCCCGCGTTGGTTTTTGCATGTCTGCGAGCGCGCGTGGCTGCGCCAGAGCGGGTCCAAGGGCGCCAGGCGGTGGCGCCGACCTCTGGCCCGCCCGCACTGGTTTTGCTAAACTTCGATTCCGCAAGGCTGCGCCAGAGCGCGTCCGGGGGCGCCGGGCGGTGGCGCCGACCTTCGTCTCGCCCGCGTTTTTTTGTTTTGTTTGCTTGCTTACGACTGCGCACGGCTGCGCCAGAGTGCGTCCGAGGATGCCAGGCGGCGGCGCCGACCTCTGGCTCGCCCGCGTTGTTACCTAACAGCGAAGACTGATAGGTTTCTAGTAGGGTCAAAAGAGAGCATCATGACGCCCCAGGGAGGTCTGGGCGCGATCTGGGGGAGGGTGCTGGGGTTTTTTTTTAGCGAGCAGTTGCACACTTCGTGGTCTTCGAGGTCCCAGAACTCCATTCCCGGGCCACATTCTGAATGCCCGGGGCCAACTGTAGGCCACTTCGTGGTCTTCGAGTTCCCAGAACTCCATTCCTGGGCATGATTGTGAATGCCCGGAGCCAACTGTAGGCCACTTCGTGGTCTTCGAGTTCCCAGAACTCCACTCCTGGGCATGATTTTGAATGCCCGGAGCCAACTGTAGGCCAATTCGTGTTCTTCGACTTCCCAGAACTCCATTCCCGGGCCACATTTTAAATGCTGAGGCTGAGGCAGGCTGAGGCTGAGGCAGGCTGACGCTGAGGCCGAGGCTGAAGGCAGACTGAGGCTGAGGCTGAAGCAGGCTGATGCTGAGGCTGAGGCAGGCTGAGGCTGATGCTGAGGCAGGCTGAGGCTGAGGCAGGCTGAGGCTGAGGCTGAGGCTGATGCAGGCTGAGGCTGAGGCAGGCTGAGGCTGAGGCCGAGGCTGAAGGCAGACTGAGGCTGAGGCTGAAGCAGGCTGAGGCTGAGGCTGAGGCAGGCTGAGGCTGAGGCTGAGGCAGGCTGATGCTGAGGCAGGCTGAGGCTGAGGCTGAGGCTGATGCAGGCTGAGGCTGAGGCTGAGGCTGAGGCCGAGGCTGAAGGCAGACTGAGGCTGAGGCTGAAGCAGGCTGAGGCTGAGGCTGAGGCAGGCTGAGGCTGAGGCTGAGGCAGGCTGATGCTGAGGCAGGCTGAGGCTGAGGCTGAGGCTGATGCAGGCTGAGGCTGAGGCAGGCTGAGGCTGAGGCCGAGGCTGAAGGCAGACTGAGGCTGAGGCTGAAGCAGGCTGAGGCTGAGGCTGAGGCAGGCTGAGGCTGAGGCTGAGGCAGGCTGATGCTGAGGCAGGCTGAGGCTGAGGCTGAGGCTGATGCAGGCTGAGGCTGAGGCAGGCTGAGGCTGAGGCCGAGGCTGAAGGCAGACTGAGGCTGAGGCTGAAGCAGGCTGAGGCTGAGGCTGAGGCAGGCTGAGGCTGAGGCTGAGGCAGGCTGATGCTGAGGCAGGCTGAGGCTGAGGCTGAGGCTGATGCAGGCTGAGGCTGAGGCAGGCTGAGGCTGAGGCCGAGGCTGAAGGCAGACTGAGGCTGAGGCTGAAGCAGGCTGAGGCTGAGGCTGAGGCTGAGGCTGAGGCTGAGGCTGAGGCAGGCTGAGGCTGAGGCTGAGGCTGATGCAGGCTGAGGCTGAGGCTGAGGCTGAGGCTGCAGGCTGAGGCTGAGGCTGAGGCTGAGGCTGAGGCAGGCTGAGGCTGAGGCTGAGGCAGGCTGAGGCTGAGGCTGAGGCTGATGAGGCTGAGGCTGAGGCTGAGGCAGGCTGAGGCTGAGGCCGAGGCTGAAGGCAGACTGAGGCTGAGGCTGAAGCAGGCTGAGGCTGAGGCTGAGGCAGGCTGAGGCTGAGGCTGAGGCTGAGGCTGATGCTGAGGCAGGCTGAGGCTGAGGCTGAGGCTGATGCAGGCTGAGGCTGAGGCAGGCTGAGGCTGAGGCCGAGGCTGCTGAGGCAGGCTGAGGCTGAGGCTGAGGCTGAAGCAGGCTGAGGCTGAGGCAGGCTGAGGCTGAGGCTGAGGCAGGCTGATGCTGCTGAGGCTGAGGCTGAGGCTGAGGCTGAGGCTGATGCAGGCTGAGGCTGAGGCAGGCTGAGGCTGAGGCCGAGGCTGAAGGCAGACTGAGGCTGAGGCTGAAGCAGGCTGAGGCTGAGGCTGAGGCAGGCTGAGGCTGAGGCAGGCTGAGGCTGAGGCTGAGGCAGGCTGAGGCTGTGACTGCGACTGCCGTTTCCACTGCGACTGCCATCGCGAATGCGTCTACGACTGCGAGAACAGCAAAATGCTACAACAGGATTATCATCTGAATCTTAAGGGGAATGCTTCCAGATATGCTCCTACACATCGCTGTTAGGTTGCTTTGCCGGGATATTTTTTCTATTTGTCCCAACCCTCCTTGGTTAGGTATTCGTTTTGAATAGAGCACCGCGGTCGCGTCTCCCTCCTCCTCCTCCTCCTCCTCCCGCCTCCTGCCTCCCGCCTCCTGTCTCGCGCGAGACCTCGCCGTCCCTGGGGGGGTGGGGGGGGGGCTGCGATCTGCGAAACTGTCGCCACTTTCGAGGGTTGCTGGTGGGTCCAGCGGAGTGGGGCACCGCGCAGATTTGAGCTAGACCTCGCCGTCCCTGGGGGGCTGCGATCTGCGAAAGTGTCGCCACTCTCGAGGGCTGCTGGTGGTCCAGCGGAGTGAGGCCCTGCGCAGATCTGAGCTAGACCTCGCCGTCCCGGGGGGGGACGCCATTCGCGAAACTGTCGCCACTTTCGAGTGCTGCTGGAGGGCGCATCCGAAGACGCCAGGCGATGGCGCCGACCTCTGGCCCGCCCGCGTTGGATAATGTTTACTTGCGATTGCGCATGGCCGCGCCAGGGTCCATCCGAGGACGCCAGGCGGTGGCGCCGACCTCTGTCTCGCCCGCGTTGGTTTTTGCATGCCTGCGAGTGCGCGTGGCTGCTGTTTGGCTGCTAGCCGTCTTCGGGCTGACGCAGAGAGATTTTCTCCTCGCAGCTCACCGGCTCCCAGTCGGTAATGGGCGGCCAGCTCTTTGGAGGCCGCACCTCAAGCAACTGCACCTGGTCGTGGACTGGACACCCACCCCGGGCTTTCCCTGCACCAGCTGGTGGCACAACGTTGCTCATCGCCTACGTGGTGCTCTTCTTCCCCCTGGACGTCGACCTGGTCATTTGGCGCGTCTTCCCCGCAGTACTTGAGGATGGTGTTCACGAGGCGCCGCCGACGGTAACACCTTTCTTCCGCCCACCGGGACTTCGCCCTCGGTTCTTGTATAAGGCGTTCCTTGTCCTGCACGTTAAGTACGACACCGCCTGTACCCCGGGCCTCGCCCGCCCTCGGCCGCCTGAGGCCCCGCCTTCCTGTGCCCTGTCTCCCTGATTAAAGCTGCGCGCAGCCCGCCTAGCTTTTAGCGGAAGAGGCTCGAGGCTCGCTCTCGCCCCGCAGATCAAAAATAATGCGCGTGGCTGCACCAGAGCGGGTCCGAGGATGTGACGCTGATGATGATGCTGATGATGATGACGATGATAATGATGATGGTGATGATGATGATGATGATGATGATGGTTCTGATGACGCGTATGATGGCGACGATGATGATGCTGCTGATGACGATGATGATGACGATGATGATGATGCTGCTGATGATGATGATGACGATGAAGCTGCTCATGATGATGATGATGATGATGATGATGATGATGATGATGATGATGATGATGATGATGATGATGATGATGATTATGATGATGATGATGATCACGATGAGGAGCAGGAGGAGGAGGAGGAAAAGGAGGAGGAGGAGGACGAGGAGGCAGGAATGGGAGACAACAAACAGGATGGCATCCAGGAGGGGCTTGGGGGGAGGCTGATCCTGAACGGATCCTTGGCAGGGGAGGGTGACAGTGCCGCTATTGTCGGAGGCCCTGCTGGTGAGGGCGGTCGCACAGCCGGAGGCGCGCAAGCTCGAGGTCTATCTGCCCCCTGGGGCCTGGTTCGACTACTGGGACGAGTCCGCGCCCGCACGGTCCGGCGGCGAGGCGGTCGTGCTGGCCGCCCACGACGCGCATGTGCCAGCCGCGGGGACGTGTGTCAATAGCGGACTCCTCGACCCCCCAGGCTCTCTCGATTCCTGGACGCACTTGTTGGACGTTTTTCGAACGGTGCTTGCACTAATGGCTCCGTACTCGCGTTATCAGGACCTGGCACTTCGTGTCGCAGCTGGCCGTTCCCTGTCGGTGCTGCGGCCGCCCGTTAGGGTCCGTCCGACCCGCCTGTGAGGGTCCCCCTGCCCGACCCGCCCGTCAGGCTCCGCCCGCCCGACCCGCCTGCCTCGCCGTGTCGGGGTTCACCCAGGAGCTGGTATGAAACAGTGAGTTCCCCCAAAGTGGGTGCTTTCATAGACGAAGATGGCGGGAGTCGAGGGTTTGGGGCACGCACGTTGGATGACACGCCAGAAAGTAGAAATGAGCCTTATCAACCTGTTTGTTGATACTGATTGTGACGAGGAGAAGGAGGAAGAGGAGGAGGAGGAAGAGGAGGACGCGGAGGAGGAGGAGGAGGAGGACTAGGATAAGTTGGTTGAGGAGGTGTTGGAACGGGCGGAGTTCGAGGAGGCGGGGCAGCAGCAGGAGACGGGGGATGATAAGTCAGAGAGAAGAGTGAGGCGGAGGCGGAGTTGGAGGTGGAGGAGGAGCAGGAGGTGAAGGAGGAGGAGGAGGAGGAGGAGGAGGAGGCGGAGGAGGCGATCATATGAAATAGTGATGAGAAAGGGGGGTGCGGAGGCGTACCAAGGAAAAGAGAAGTGAAGACAGAAGAGGAGGAAGAGGAGGAGGAGAAGCAGGAGGAGGAGGAGGAAGAAGATGACGGAGGAGACAGAGGACGAGGAATACGGGGCGAGCGAGAATGAGGACGATGCTGAGGACGATAACGACGACATGATTACGAGGGGGAGCAGAGGAGGACGAAGGTGGAATACAAGGCGTCGGTAGAGGGAGGAAAGTGTCTGGAATCGTTTCCTTCGCCTGCTTAAGGTGCCTGTGTTCGTGCGGAGCGGTAACATCCTCGTGAAGAAAGGACGCCCGCGCCGGAGCACGGCGGCGATGTTCGCGGACCCTTACACTGTCTGCGTTTTCGGCGCCGCTGCCAGAGGTAGACTCTACGTTGACGATGGCAGCAGCCATCAGTACAGCTCTGGCTCTTTTATCTACGACGAGCTCGAGTTCGACGGGTCGGCCGCTCTCCGTAAGAGCGGGTCCGATCGTCATCCTTTGTGGCCTGTTGGTCCGCCTACATTCGACACGCGATGGGCTTTTGCAGGTCCATGCGGTGACCCGATCGAGTGGTCCTCGCAGCCCGAGGTGCCCCCCCCCAACCTCGGGTTCGGCAGTAGCAGACGCGGCGCTCACAGCCCGAGATCCCTGTTCGCAAGTCTTTTTCTCTTGGGTGTTGCTGGACGCTGGACGCACCCAGGCTCAGGCAAGGTCGCATATTAGCGAGCTCGCCTGGCCGAAGCTCATGCCTGTGCCTGGTGATTGCCCAGATCTCTACAACAAGCCAATGTGCGGGCGTCAGATAACGATGACATGCGGGAGCGAGGCCAGCCAGAGATGCGGCATGGTCTTGGGCTCTCTAGGCCTCGGTCCTGGGCCGTGCCGCCAGACCAGGTGGCGGCGGTGTTGACGATCTTGACCGATGCCGAGGTCGCTTCCCGTCGCTCCTCGGTAATACCCAGCCGTGGCGGCGGTCGTAGACTCGGTCGTTGCAGCTCGTGCCAAGCGGGGTATCCCATAAGTGTATGGGGAGGAACACCCCCGTCTCCCCTGCTCCTTTCCCGCTTCCCCCTTCTCTTCCCGATTTCCCCCTCCCCGTCCCCCTTCCTCCCCCTCTTTGCCGCATCCCCTCGCCTCTTCTCCTCCCCCATCCCATCTCTCTCTCTCTCTCTCTCTTTCCTCACTTCGCCCTCTGCCCTCCCCCGCTCCCCCTCCACCTCCTCCCTTTCCCCCCCCCCCCGTCTCTCTCTCTCTCTATCCTCCCTTTCCCTATCCCCCTTTTCCCCCCTCATGCCCACGAAGCGTTCAAGACGCTCGCGCTGAGGTCGTCTCTGAGAGCGAGCCCCTCGAGCACGCTGTCCAGCAAGGGCGCGCCAGCCGTGCCCGCGGCGGGCCTGCGAGTGGAGCGCGTGGTGTTCGTGGGGCTGCCGAGGGCGCCCGCGGCGGCGCGGCTGGTTCGCCATGGCGGTGGGGCCAGCCAGGTCGGGGCCGTCGGGAGCCGCCAGGGGTGGCGTTGTGTGTGTGTGTGTGTGTGTGTGTGTGTGCAGGTGTGTGTGCGTGTGTGTGTGTGTGTGTGTGTGTGTGTGTGTGTGTGTGTGCGTGCGTGTGTGTGTGTGTGTGTGTGGGTGTGTGGGTGTGTGGGGGGGGTCGCCCAGTAAGCGTGGAGAGGTTGACAGCGTGGGCAGGGCAGGACTGCGCTGTGCTTCGCAGGGCGTGGGGAGACTGGATCGCGTCAGGGGGTGGGCTCGGTACGCGTGAAGGGGTGTGGGAGGGGGGGGGGCGGAACGGGCCGTCGGGCGAATTGGCGCAGGAAGTGGGTTTCATGTACAACTTGGAGTAGACGACACGGGTTTGGGATTTTCGAGCGCTTCATCGGCAAGCTCTCGGCGTGATCGCTCGGTGTCATTGACGTATATGTGGCAGAGTTTTTTATGCTTCCGTGACAAGCTCGATCGTGATGCTTCGTTCCATTGTTCCAGGCGAGATCTTTTCTCACAGGACGTCGCGGATATCCCTTCGCACCGTGGTCCCATGTATCTCTTATCAATGTTGCAATGGTGGGCTCATGCGAGCCCGTGATCTTGAGCCACGCGTGTTCGATGCAGGTCTGGTGGCGGTCGCTTGGTGGTCACGTGGCAGCCACCCATTGCGCATTGCTATTGCCGCTGCAGAGGGTTTCGGTCACGGTACCTTTTTACCCATTGCCGTTGCCGCAAGTATTGGCTACCGCGCTTGTGAATGGAGCTAGGTTGTTCAGTATCGTCGCGTGGTTGTGTCGTTGCTTTGCTGTGCCATGCCCAGAACAAAACCCATTGAAAGCCGCGCAGGAGTATGGATGCTGGGTGCGTGTCGGTGGAAGTCTGCAAGATCGCGAGTTTCGCTCACTGGGCGAAACGAGCACGCCCCTTCGAGACATGGTTTCGATGGGGGGAGGAACAAGAAGAGGAGGAGGAGGAGAAGGAGGAGGAAGAGAAAGAGGAGGAGGAGGAGGAGGAGGATGAGGGAGGACGAGGAGGAAAGGAAAGGAAAGGAAAGGACATGAAAGGAAAGGAAAGGAAAGGTGAGGTAATGTAAGGCAAGGTAAGGTAACATACGGTAATGACGCCGTGGGGTCAGCATCCTACCTGACGGATGCAGCTAGACCCCTGCGTGAATCTTGTGGATGTAGGGCCACCAGTTGGTAACGAGGGTCCATTTGCCCGAAGCGGCGAGGCAGATAGCCTGGCCGCTGGGACGTCGGCGGAGGGACACTTCGATGCTCGAACAAGCTTGTCACATGAAAGGAGAGGGAGGGAGCAGCAGGCCCGCGGCGCACACCCCGTCACGAGACCCGTGCATCTGGGACGAAGTTCAACGCACCGTGAAACCGAGTGCGAACCTGCTCCTTCTAGTCAGAGCCTTCATGTAATCTACACCTGTACCTGGGAATCGTGGTGAGTGTCCTACCCACTCTAGTCCCTGCTCGTCGTCGTGAGGCCCAATGGTCGTCGCACGGTCTGTTCCACTCACTGACTCTGTCGATGCCTGGCGGTGCTGCCGCTATTCCACCTGCCTGCTGCTCACGATCCCTTTCACCTTGGTGCCGCTCATCTTCCTTCCTCCTCCTCCACTTCCTCATAGTCCTGCAGCAGTCCGAGTGCCGTCCTGTGATCTCCGCGCCAAGCATGTTCAGGAGTCCTATTGTCCTGGGCCTTGTGCAACAGCTCCGATAGGTACTGTAGCGACTGCAAGCGCTTGGCACTGGATAGCTCTTGAGCTTGCTCTTTCGGCGTGGGGAGGGAGAGGCGACTGTACTTCGAATCCGAGGCAACTTGATGCTGATCCTAAAGCCTCTGCCACATGTAGCGCACGTGAGGCCTCTGATCGTCCAGCACCTTTGGAGCTAGTGCCTGCTCTGCTCTTACGAGCCTCGCGCCAATCTCACCGAGCATTCGTGGGTCATCCTGGCAGTGCGGTTGACTTACTGCAGGTTCCCTGGCAGGCTGGCCCTTCTGTGCTTTTCCTGTTCCTCGCTGCCTCAGAAGCTCCGCCAGCCCTGACACGCCCTATGCTCGCATTGGTAGTACGGTGGATCATTGTGCAGCAGATGTGTTTGCCTGAGCCGTCACAGCAAGTACGAACGGGCGGCACATCGGGTAGTTCGTCGAGGACATCGGGTAGTTCGTCGAGGTTGTGGGGCCCCAGAGCTCTCGTGTCCCAATTGGTCAATCAGGGGCTCTTGGGTCTGGGGCTCTCTGGAAGGTCTTTACGCTTATTTTCTTGGGACCGATAGTTTGTGTTCCGGTTCACACGCAGTAGTAGCACGTAGTACCTTCCCGTTCTGCAGTGATCTCTCTGCATGACCTGCCCGTAGTTGGTGTTCCTTCGCAGACGCAGTTATATCCTGTAGTACCCTCTGGATCCCAAGCAGTAGTATTTCCTCCACAATCACTGCCTGTCGGTTCCAGTTGGGAGCCTGTTGGCCCCTCGTATTGGGGGTAATCGACTCTGGCGAAGCCTGTCTGTACTAGGTGTGTCGTGGCCGATTTTATCTCAATTGCAGCCCGCTGGGCCGATCTGTGAAGGACCTCTCTCGTTGTCCATGGCCACTGCATCTCCTACTGCGTGCTTTCGCTTGTTGTCGGTTCGCTGCCCAGGCCGGCGGGTGGCATTGTTGCTCACCTTCTTCACCTCAAGGTTGCGGCTCTCGTTGGTGCTCTCTTGTTCCTCGCTCCCGCTGTGCTCGAGTTTTGCTTTCTTCTCGTAGGCGACTTGCTTCTCCTTGACCTCTGCCAGCTCCACCTTGTTCGAGTCCGAGTCTTCCGCATCTCCGCTCTTAGGAGGAGGAGGAGGAGGAGGAGGAGGAGGAGAAGGACTGCGCGCCGCTCTACGAGCAGCGGGTGCCCGCGTGCGGCGGCCAGGGCAGCCAGCGGTCCTGGAGCGGGTCATCCTGGACGTCGAATGCGACGACGTCGACTGCAGGCGGTGGTTAAACGTGACTGTCCGCCACCCAGCGGCTGGCGATGAGCCCACTGTGCGCACGGGGGCGCGGCGCCCTGGCGAGGCGGCGCGCCAGGCCGAGCGCGCCTAGCACGCGCGCTACCCCGGCGAACGGCTGACCGCTTTCGCCCTGGACACAGGGGGCCGCCTCGGCGGAGAGGCGCGAGACTGGCTCTTGAGCCAGGTCTGGGAGCTCCCAGAGGACACGCGCCTACCGGCTGCTCAGCTGCGCGCTGCAGCGTGAGCTGGCGCAGCAGCTCCGCCGCGCGGCAGGGCTGCGCTAGGCCCGCGGCGGGCGCGGCCTGGGGCAGCTGGGCGCTGTTGCGCGGGGCTGAGCTGATGCGCGAGGTGGCGTTGCGCTGTTGGGGCGCTGGGCTGCCGGGCTGGGCGTGGCGCAGAGCCGCGCCCAGCGGCGCCTGGCCCCCAGCGGGGGCTGCGCGTGGGCGGCGGCGGGGGGGGGCGCGCTCCGGCGCAGGACTGCCTCCCGGCAGGGCGGGCAATCCGAAGCTGGCGGGCTGGCTATGGTCGCTCTGGGGAGCACGCTGGCGACCAGGAGCTCCTGGGCATGCTCAGTCTGAGGGCCCTGGCCGGCAGACCACTCTTCCGTGGGAGTGGCCGTTGTCTGTGGCAGCCGGCCACCCCAGGGGGGAACCGGCGTGTTTGGGTGGTGGTGGAGGTGTTTGCTGGCTCCCGATCACTGTGCGCCCGCTGCGGGAGAGACCCGCGCGCGCCGCCGGAGGAGGAGGAGGAGGAGGAAGAGGAGGAGGAGGAGGAGGAGGAGGAGGAGGAACAGGAGGAGTAGGAGGAGTAGGAGTAGGAGTAGGAGTAGGAGTAGGAGTAGGAGGAGGAGGAGGAGGAGGAGGAGGAGGAGGAGGAGGAGGAGGAGGAGGAGGAGGAGGAGGAGGGAAATCAGGTCGCTGTGGTGGAGGAGCGGGAAGAGCAGCGATGAGGGAGGAGGGGGGGATGCATTTTCAGATTGGCGCGCCATTGGATATTGGATCACTAGGTGGGCGCGAGTACGCACGGGAACTACGTAGACACGCTGTGGCATGGCACGGCCGCAGCGTTGCATGGGTGTCGCGATGCTTTTCGGCAGCCTTGCAGAAATTCCTGGGGGCCTCTCAGGGCTGGGGCTTCTTGGAATATTCAGGGAATCTTGGGCAGCCATCGGGCGTGTTCATGGTCGTGAATGGGGCATCCCCGTCGTCATCTTCAGGGTTTTTGAAGCCGCCTGTGTGAGTCCAGTGGTCGTCTTCGGCTGTGTTGGGGCAGTCCTGGCGCCATGGGTGTTGGCGCCGTCTCGGGTATCCTGGCCTGTCTTGGGCCATACTGCGCCCTCCTCAATGGCCTCTCAGACCGCCGCGGTGCCGTCGGGGGTGGCGGGGAAGCTGACAGTTGGCTGGCCAGAAACCACTGAAGACCTTCAGGGGTGGCTGGGCGAATGACATCTGGCCATGTGTGGATTTGTGCAATGCTTGGCCTCCTCGCGCCTCTTGGGGCCCCTTCCTGGCTTCTTGGCCTGTTGTCCAGAGTCCGATGCCGTCTGGGCACTAGTGGCCGTCTTGGGAAGGACGAGATGTTGCTTTTTGGCAAATTCAGTGTCTGCGCGTCATGGGCTTTTGCCAGGCGAGAAGTTTGCAGTGCCCCTGTGCGTGCCGTCTCTTTCTCTTACTCGTCCTCCTCCTTCTCCTCCTCCTCCTCCTCCTCCTCCTCCTCCTCCTCCTCCTCCCCCATCCTCCTCTTCCTCCTCTTCCTCCTCCTCCTCCTCCTCCTCCTGTATTCCTGCCCCTCTGGTCCGTGCTCTTCGCTCCCTCTACCACTGCACTCCATGCTACTTCGCCGGCGACTCTCCGACGTACCTATACCACATGAACTCAGGGGTGCTTCAGGGCTGTCCGTTGAGTGGTTCGCTCTATGTCATCGCGAGCAACCCGTTCCTTCTGGACTTAGAACACTGTCTGGTTGCACGTGGGCGTCTCCTGGGTGTCGTTCGTGCGTGTGC